AGTAGTACCGTTTGCTTTCGTTCTTTGAGTCCTTCCTGTGAAATAATCTTTCAACCATGACAACAAGTTGATGGGACAACCAAATGACTCTGACGTTTGCAGGAGAAGAGATCGTTTAACGGAATCGAAAGCCGAGGAATGGTTAAGGAAAACACAACAAACCGACTTTGGAGAACGATCTAAAGATTTACAAATAAAGTGCGTCATTGAAGAGACGGCATTCAAATTGCATCTATTTGAATTGTGCGCAAACTGAAGAGGGTCATCGGAGACAATAATACCTGATTACAAGCGGGTGAGAATAGCGCGCTCTGCAAGTTTGAGTCCAGAGGAGGTGATGGCGATAGGACGAAAGCGTGTAGATAAAATGCTAGATGAAGAGGATTTAGGAATGGGAATAATGATGAACGGTCTCCGAGAATCCGGAATCAAACATGTGTAAATGGATTGGTTAATAAGGGAGGTAAACATATCTGTAACTGAGCTAGCGCCGTATTTGAGCAATGAGGAAGATAAACCATCAGGACAAACTGCTTTCGTGATTTTCGTAGTTTTAAGAAGATGATAGATCTCCTCATGGGTGATCGGGTCTATAGGAGATAGGTGATCTGTCGGGTATGGAGACAGGAGATCATTCTAAGGATAAATGAATGCAGCATTGAGGCTGTCAACGTTAATAATTTTGTTCGTTATCCGTTTCTTTTATCTGCAAAGCAATCTGATCCCTTGCCGTAGCCGTCTTCTATCTCCAGCTCCCAGAACTTGCTTTGGAAGTGAAGCATTCAGTCTTTTGATCTCTGCCTTGATTTGCAGTGTGGGTCGTTTGACAGTAGCTGCTTAATGTATCTTGGACGCTAGTTCTTTTTGTCTTCCGAGATCTTTTAACTGCGGAGAGAATATTCTGCTAGTGTGAACAAAACCTGTCTCCATAGGACAGCATAGATTGAAAATCATGTTAGCTGTTTCTGTAAAAAGCTCAACAGAACAGAGAGACTGTTGAACAGAAAACCATGAGGATATAATAGCAAGAGATTTCCTCAGGAGATGGAGTTTGTCGGCTGAAGGGTTCCGAATTTTTATGTTCATTTGTTTTGTTTGAATAAAAGCGGAGTGTGCTAACCGAGAGTAAACTTTTGGTCTAAGACATAGGAGACAGTGGTCAATAGACGAAATTGTTCCCTTCAGTTTGAGAGAGAAGATATTAGGGTGATTAGTAATAAGCTTGTCCAAAATAGCATTTTCTCTGGTGGGCGTTAAAGAGAGATGTGATAGACCGAGAGAAAGTAGGGGTTGGGTTGATCCGGGATTAAAATCACCGGCAGTTAAAATTAGATTATCGTCTATTACGGGAGCAATGAAATAAATTAAAACATCGTAGAATGAACTAATTTCAGTTTGTGAGTCAGAAGGGACAATATATAGATTTGTAACTATTGCACTGCGATAAGGGGAAAACCTAGCTTGACATGAACCAGCAAGGCAGTCAATACCATAAGAGGAGAAAACAAACAACGCTTCGGGCTTGCCGCACCAACTGCAGTTAATGTAAGTATTACACCACCTCCGGACTTCTTTTTACTTCTTTTTTTGTCTTGTCGAATACTTGCAAAACCAGGTATGTTGACCAGCGATTCGTCTATGTTTTCGTTGTGTCAAGATTCCTGTATGCATATCACACACATGTTTTTGTGCACGCAATGAGTTAGTAGTTAGTTAGTGATCTCAGTCAGTTTGCTAAATAGTGAGCGAATGTTGGAACTGATTAATGGCGGTAACGTCATCTTCACGGGAGTAAGGTTTGCGAGCACAGTCTGCCACCCGGCACGCTTTCGTTTCTTGCTCCAAGCAAAAAATCCAGCTCGGACAGAACCATGTGAGTTGGATAACACAGAAGAATACTAAATATCCTTTAGACGTAGTAATAATTTCCTGGGATACGAACGTCGAGAGAACATGGCAGAAGCCAAGTAATAAATTCCAATGCAACAGTGAACACAAACGTAGCGCAGCCAATCGAAGGGTGCGCGCGCAATCAACTTCTCATGCTCTCAATCAGTTTTCGACCCACATTGAATAGGTTAGAACGTTTTAAGAAGAATACCGTACATGAACACCTATATAATTACGTGGGTTTGGGAGGGAATAAATTGGTGGTTGAGTCATTTGACAAGGTCATTTGGTGTTGAGTGAAGTGAGAAGAGGCGGGGGGTGAGATAATGTTTACACAGAATCAGAAAAAGAGGATTCTAGCACAAAAACATAATGCCAAACGATTAAACGCGAAAGAAAGAGAGTTTTAAAAGTTTTACAAAGTATAATTTTAGAAAGCTTGTTTATATAATTAAGAATTTTCTGATCAATCGTGCAGAAATTAATGAGTCGATCTAACTTCATCTGGTATCTCTCACAACATTTTGGTTTTACTCTACACGTGTACAGTCAACCTGCTTGGTGATAATCTGCATTTTAGCCATATTTTGAAATGATTGTTGTGCTGTAATATTCTTGGACTCGATTGTGCAGCAGAATTCTCCCCCCTTGAACGGATATACCAGGCAACCAAAAGTGTGCTGAAACCGTCGAAGGTCAGGAACTTTTCCATAGAGAAGCATAAAAGTGCATCATGAACCAAAAGGTCCAGTAATGGATGAACACGACTCATTCTCGAAGGGAATACAGTTTGCCAAGCATCTTGCAAATTATGATATTAACCCTGAAATCAAACGTTTGTTTTCACTACTTTGACTACTAAACTAAACAAACAATACTGTATCTTCCTTCAAACGTGTATCACAAGAATTTCATGTGTCTTGAGGTACCCGATTTTGTTTTACAATGGCATATTGTTTCTGCAAAATGCCTGTTTGGGTTGTACGTCATCAGTACACTTCTCGAATTGAGTAGCAATACATGGGACTTACAACAATATTATTATTATTCTCATTAATATTATTATACTAATGTTGTGAGATCCTACTCACTTATAGGTAGTAGGTAACTCTCGATGATAAAAAATATAACGAAGCCATCAAGTGCCAAGTGAAGTGCTTAGAAGATGAACTACTGGTTACTCTATACATTACCCTGTGTGTTGGAAAGAATTGCGATGGCACGTTTCTGGTTAGGTTTTTGTGTTATGCATGCCAAATTACTGACGTCCCATCTGTAATCCTCAATAAACGAATATCCTCGACCAGCACCGCCTTTTGGAATTATAACACTAATAGTTATTATCGTAATTGGTAACTTTACATGAGTCGCTGTCTGAAAACGTCTTTCCGCACAATTTGGATTTTTTGAGAAAAGAGTCTAATAAAGCGGTTCTCAAACCGTCACTTTCACCACGAAAGCTTCTGTTGCCCGGTTCATTTTCCTCCCAAAGTTTCACCGATGGGATCAGTAATTCACGCGTATAAGTGAAATGTACCAACCACTGACACTGTATATAAATTGGTGCGTTTCCGTCTACCGAGCACAACCTGGCTGGACTCCTGTGTCTACCCTGTTTCATCTTTCCCTTCAATATCAAGATAGAGGGATCATAGAGTAGATAGGAATCAGCGAAAATAAACAAGGTAGATAGGTAAAGTAGGTATCAACAATAGACTAACCAAAAAATACCAAATCAAGCACTTCCGAGGAAACGAACATCCAACAATCCACTTAGGAAGGGAGACATTCAGCATACGAATAGAGAAATCTAAAAAAGCTTGGGGATATCGGTGTCAAAAGACTTTCACCGGGAGAACCATGCTTCGGTTGTTCAGGAAACGCAAAGACAGGTGTTCAGGCTGAAATCAGTACTATGGCGTAGGAAGCCTGATGTATTCAGAAGCTGTTTGACGTGCGGTTTTTGGCTGAGTTCCTTGTGGATCTCCTATTGTACCGTTGCCCGAAATGGACAAGAACACTCGAAAATGTCAAAAGAGGTTTATATGGAACATTGCAGCAGCAGGAATGACCAAATTAATGCAATAGTGACGGCCAAACCATTCAGGCAGCTACGAAGCGAAAATATACCACAAGTGGAAGCTGGAAAACGACCCAGTATAAATTGATTCATACCCCGGTAATCGAAAAGCAGAAAAACAAACGAACAAGTATTCGCACAGCCAAGTTCACGGTTGCTTGTTCCAGAAAGAGAAACTGAAAATGTTATCATAGATCTCTACTTTTCTTGGTACAACCAACATCCCTGCAGCACTATCATAGGGGGTTATCAGAACCAACTTAGCTTACACCTAGCGCAGGTTAATCTTATTTCTCCAGAACAGGGAACCTCTTGAATTCATTCAACTGCTCGATAAATGCACTACCAACTCTAACTTCCAAATAATCGCGTGCAATCAAACAAATGGAACCTTTCTTCTAGGATAAAACTTTGCATGTTCCGGGATTTAGCACACACCTTTTCTATTCTGGTGCTTTTGTGGCGCCAAGAAAGCTGCGTAGAGCTGAGTATCGCAAAATCTCGCTTGTCTGATCAAATATACTGTCAGGTTTAAACTGTCTTTCTTCAAATGCTATCTTCGGCTAGCATGGAACCTCCTCTGACCATTCAGAATATAAAGTTGTGTCATTCAACTCAATCTGGATTCCGGCTGCATGCAACAGGGAATTGCAAGTTATCGCAAGTTGGAGGTTCCGCGCAATATCAGTGCTGAACATTCATTCACAACCGAAATCAGTCTCCATCGGTGAATTCGGCGTGAAATCAGACAGGTTCTTTTTGAAAGATGTGAATTCCAAAGGTTTGCTTGATTTGGGTCGACCTATTGGTACAAGAAACACTTGGTTTCATTGAGTTCAAATTAGAACAATTGATTCACCATAAAAAATGTCTGACCGATCTGACCAATTTTGCATCCCATCCACAGTAAAACGAGCACAATAATTTCAGTTACATTACGCATTCATTTCATTTAATCCATTTCGTTTGATTGGTACATACCTAATCACAAGAACAAGTCAAATGATATTACCCGGACCAAGGGATGTATTTACGATGGTGGGGCATGACCGCCACCAAAGTGCGCGGCCCAACCATGCAGCGGCCACTTGATGAAACGGTTCGATGCCATGTAAGCCTTGATTTTTGGCAAATTCTGCAAGTAAATTAAAACGGGAGTGTTGTTAGAATGGAAGGAAAGAAAGTGAGATACAATTGATTTATGTTCAATTTTCTCTCAGCATGGCTCGTTACCTCAATGTGTTGCATAAATTGAATCAGGTTGGAGAAGTGATCGAGACAATGTGGTTCCAAATGTTTGTTCACATCCAGAGCTTCGTAGAGCAGGAAATCCACATGAGTGACCTGTAGAATGGTGGGGACGAGGGAAGTAAAAACAAATGAATCCCACGCAGGAAAATATCGATAGAGGTGCACAATTTTGAACTTGATATTGTTATTATTCCATTTAAATTTGGTCAAAATTGCAGTACACGGAAAAGGTTTACAGGGACACAATATAGGTGCCAGATTTGTAGATGAGAGATATTCTGTGACTTATTTGATATTTTGCTAATCGAGTAAGAAGTTCTATCATGGCTTGACCTCTATACCCAAAGAAAGCGCACAGTATGTCACGAAAGGATTCCCTGGATCGGAAATGAATAATTTACATAAAATGCGTATAATTGCTGTCTACACATGTGAATCCAACGGAAACGTTAACCTTTATTAGCAGACATGTCTATATGACCCGTTTCACAAGATAATTTTACTGTCATCCGATGACTTCAGCCCTAAGATTCCGAGTTGATGTGCACACTTTGAAGACGTGGTCACTGGTAGGCTTATTTAGAGATATGCAGCAACAGATGAAAGCCTTTTAGAGAAACGGGATCAACTGATTGGGAGAATGATGTCGGTTTGGTGTTACGCTTGTTCGAATCATCCATACAATTGCATTATTTGCACTCAACTTCTAGCAGATGTATTCCTTCTGCACTCGTTGCCAAACAGTCAATTAAGAATGCACAATGCTATACAGTTCAGTTACCAATGAGCTGAGAATCGAGTGCGTCCCACGAAAACGGACTGAAATAGGTTCGGGATGGTGATACATTTTCCATTAAACGTGCCATTTATTTTTTTAATGCATTATAATTTATTAAACACTATTCTGACGTTTCTCATTCTACGCAGTACACAATTTTAAGTGAATGTTTATCGTTACCAGGGGCGTTGATAAACAGCGCATTGTCCATCCGGATTTGTAAACTATTGTGATGAAAATCGCATTCCTTAAATATCCCCTATCAAGTTAAATTGCGTTTTGCNGCCACTGAGATGTAAACATGGTAATGGGGCCAAAAAAAAATCAAACGGAAATCAGTGCAACTGGGGATAGATTTTATCGATTTTATATCATGTATGTTTATCTGCACGCGTGTGCATCGTCAACGTTGTTCAGCATGTGTGGTTCGGTAAATAGTTTAGTGAACATAGGGTACAAATAACCGACATACCAACAATGCAAAACTGAGGTAGTGGGGAGGGGCACAAGGCGATGAAACTTACCGAGTCACCCATCAAATATTTCCGCTCTCCTAGGAAGTTGGACCACATTTTCAACACCGTCGGCAAGTTCTTCACGTAGTCCTGTTTTAGTTGTTCCTATATGGCGATTATTGAAAATTCGGTATTCGAAACAAACACTTACAAATTGTGGATTATAAGCTATTCGGGCTAAACCAATGCGAAGATCTAATGCAGCTCCTTCGATCATTNTTGAAATTCGCGCCCTTTCTTCCGGAGTTGAGCCAGCTGCGCAGGATCAGATTGGACGCATCACAGGCGGATGCACCCTACATAAACTTACTCATTCCATGCTTCTCGGCGATGTAGCGCAAAATGGCCAGGGATTGTGTCAGTTTCACATGCCCATCAATGTAATACGGCAACTGAAACGGCAAACAGGTGGCCCGTGAGGCCAAAACCAAAATTACTTGTACTTACATTCGGCAAATCCAGACCCAAGTTGAACTTCTCGCTTTGCCATTTCTCCCTATCCCCTTCGCTGTACTGGACCTCTTCGTAATGATCGCCCACGAATTCCAGTAACAAACGAATCGGTTGACCGAGCTGAAGATTGGTGACGTGCGATGGGGAGAGAGTGGGGTGGGGTGAAAGGCGAAAGGTAAACAAATGAAACGTAAACAATGTGCATTTGATTGACTTCAATGGAAATACAAGGGTATTGAACGAAATGCAAACCATCAATCATGTATGTGTTTGTGTATGTGTGTGTGAAGGCTAACTTTCAACAACCAAGAATTAATGTCTCAAATGCAAGACCCCCATACGTTTGTCATCTCTCTCTTTGATTTAGCGGGAGTTTCCATATGAATGTTATTAATCTACCAAAAATCTGACGATTTCGGCTACTGAAAAGTTTTCTCGGTCTGAAAGCAAGGTGGTGGTGGCGCAGTGGTTTAGTCGCTGTCACCGGCGTACTTTGGAACCTATGGCCCAAGGTTCGAGCCCCGCCACCGCCACGTAACTTTGGTGGTAGGCAGATTTACTGTCGTCCGGTTCATTAACACGCCTAACCTATCGGGGTCTTATGTGGCTCGACATTCCAAGTCCCGGGGCTTAGGTTACCGGTTTCCACCACTGAACAGCAGGTTCTCGTGACTGTGGGATTCACCCCGTCCGCCGTTCATCAAATTTCAGTGTGTAATAAAAATAAACACATTCAGTTATTCTGAAAAGGGGTTTTCATTTTCCTGTCTAATGCTTAACTTCGAGCATCAAATCGAACGCGGACAACCTTTAACCGACACTAGACAAACTCAAAATCGATATGTAAGGATCGATTCACTAACGGAAGAGGGATACAGTTCAGACAGGGCAGCATAGCACGGGGGGGGGCAATAGCTTTGTAATGTGAATCGAATACGATTATTGATGGCATATTGGTCAGACTTTAGTTAACAAATAAAGCTCCCCGCTAATCATTTCTAGTCAGTTAAACAATGATTACTTTCCACTGATCAAAAAACAAAAAAACATTGAGGTTTAACCATTTTTCCTGTATGGCTGTTTCAGAATCATTCAAAATGTAAATCAGGATGATGACAGAACACAAACGGTCAGTCAAGTCAGGTCAAGAAGCGGCTTTAATTCGCTCCATACTGGATGAACATTCAGATACAAGCTAGTTCAGTGAACAGGCGAAAGTGAACGATGCTGGTAATCTTATATTCGATCTCCGTTGCACAGCCTTTCCGAGGAAGAAATGTTTCTCTGTGGTTGGCTATCAAATTTTTTTACAACTTCCTAGATGACTGTTTCACAAATTAAGTATATAAAATAATTCTACATAAGAAACGGAAAAAGTTATGCCTGAAATGAAAATTTCAAAGAAAATGAAGTGTTCAACGATCAGATTAAATCACAACGGAGTTGAGTGCAAATCATCACCTCGGTCAGTAAAGAACGTTCAGTGGTATAGACTTTCGATTTCAATGCTGTTTGAATATTTAAGTTAATAGAATAAAGGACGTGTGTATATGCTATGAGAATATAAACAAAATATTTTATCCAAAATAAAGATGCATCGATTTCGACTGTAAAATCCACATCCAAGCACATGAGAAAATCTCAAAAAATGAATTCAACCTATCGCAACTCACTCCTCTAAGTTTCCAGTAACCGAGCTTGGCTGCCATGTTTGGCGGCTTGCAGACTGGATCTAACTGTGTTGCTTAAGTGCGTTATATACATGCAGATTGAGATCAAGGTGTCAGACGCATGTCTAGTTCAATGAAGGCGGAACGTGCATCGCCCTTATTGGACAGTGAGTATGACCTTGAGAGATGCACACTAACGAAGTACCGTCAAAGAGACACACAAAAAGGCAGACAAACATCTGTCAAAGGGCCTCCACACTGCGTGAAACAGGACTATTTTTTAAGATTTAAACTTTACGGTATTATTACGCCCATAATTTGCATCTTTCAAAAACATGATTGTTACCGTACTCGCTACGTGTATCTATTTCCGTATTAGACTCAACAGTTTCTTAGTAAAATTCCATAATGGTTCACTAGCTCTTCATGAAAGCTGATTGTATAATTGCATTCAACATAGAGGAAGCGAAATTATATTATTATTATTAGTATTATTATCATTATTGTGAAGGCAGCTCACCAAGCTGAATAACGAAAGATTTTCTACCTGGCTGGACGCTTAATATCGATTGGAAGCGGATCACCGTTCGCATGAAACAACCCACTTTACGATTACCGTAAAGTCGTCAAACGGTGATAGGTTAAAAATTCACATCATCTATATTTGCCTGTCTCCCGCTGAATGATCAACAGACTTTTAATGGCTTCATAGGTGTTGGATTCGAAGCGTCGATTGGGCTATTTGGGGCAGGATTGGCATCATATTTGCCTATCTGACAGCCACGGTGAACCACACGAAACCGAGGTTCAATCAGCCTATCGATACGTTCATAATTATTCCGAATGAATAATGAGCACGTATTTCTCGCAAAGCACTGATCGATCTACTAGGAAGTCAAATGCAGTTATAAAACTTATATTTCCTAACCGGCTCTTTGACTACCAGAAGTCAGCAATCGATTTAGGATTTGAAGATCAAAACTATACCCTGTCCTTATAAATGTGGTCAGGATAAGAAGTCCCCTAAGATTGCTATAGATAGATAACTTGGAGAAGCCTCAGGGTACATGAAGCAAAATATCATCATTGGTATACCTGAAAAGGCTTCCATGCGGTACTGATTGATCGTACTTTGTACGTGAAAAACGTGAAGGGTGAAGTTCAGAGAAGTTTCGGAAGAGTAAGACAAAGGGAAAGCTGCCGCAACACCGCTGAACCAGTTAGGAGATCGATTTTGTAGGCAGTATAACAACAACAATGGTGTCCTATCGTAGAGGATGAAACAGACGTCGGTAAATCACTGAATAACCTATAAGATCTTATACAGCGATGCTTTATCAGTTCAGATAGAAAACGGATAATGTCACAACGGGATTATCTCTGGAAAAGGGAAAAATATTGCAGTTCATTGGAGACTGATGTCCAGTTCATCGGATCAAGAATCCATTGGACAAAGTCAAACGTCAAAGGAGACCAATCAAGCCGATAACCAATTCAACGACCAAAAATTTCTTTTAACTACCATAGCGCAGTCCAGAGACGGACATGTAGCCTATTGTTACCCTTTGAAGCAGACTAAGTGGCTTTTCTTTCCTCCTCATCCACCGATCAGCAACGCGTTTACATCCTTCCAAATCAAAATGCGCCCTCATTCCTTTCAATCACGTGATACGCAAGTAGGCAGGCCTTTTCGTTGCAGAAAATATCTTTACTTAGCCGACCATGATGCAAAAACGGAATTGCAGAGAAATCATCTAGTTGTGGTGGAGGTCGCTTAGTCGTCTAGGCTACCCGCTCAGTCACTTGTTCTGGTTTTGTTACAGTCTTATCTTTCGGCACCCCAAAGTGCGTCCCCATCGTCTTCCTTTAAAGTTATAGTGAAAGAGACATGAATAAAGAGAACGAAAACCTAAAGTAAAGTAAGAAAACCATTATTATTATTATTATTCACATTATTTTCAATGTTGTCAATCCTTTTACTATTCTTAGTTAATTAATTTCAGCATCAGAATTAATATTTAGCCCTTTGGGTCTGCAAGGTTTCATGTGGACTTGAGGATGGTGAAAGGTCAATCTCGTTTGCTTAAAAAATAGTGAGTAGCTAATGAATGGATGAAAAACCCATAGTTTCATCATATGACTGAGACGCTACCTTGGTATTTGTGGTGATCGTACAGTTATTGTGAGCACAGATTGGAGTACATGTAGGAATGAACATCCTGTGTTCAATGTCGCTAAATGTGCATTGTAAACCCGTTTCATAAGTCAGGCATATCAGTGATGTGGTCTAACCAGAATTGATCAACAAAAAGATGATTTAGTTGAAAAAATGTCAGTGGCCATGGGATGAACAGAAACCAAATAAGTAGATTTGTGAGATGCGGGGAGAAGCCTAACACGGGATTTGGTCAAACGATTCGAGACATTCGTGAGGGCCCTGGTCATTTATTTCCGTTCAACACATTATTGCTGTGCCGGTGAGAGCGATCGAGGCAGTATAAACAAATCTAACTAAGTCAAGGCGCATAAATCAAACATGCACGCGGTAAAGGTTGTTCAAATTTTAAATTTGTACGAGTTAATGCACGTATACTTTGACCCACCAGGGTGGGGATTGTAATCGGTCAGAAGCCGTTGAGAAAAACGAAGGTTTATGAAATCTTGTTGAAAATAATAGGCTACCACCACACTGATAATTGATCAATACCGATAAATCGGTGTATTTTCTCACAAGAGCGCCTTGTTTTACCCCAACTGGTTCGTTTACATAGATTAGCCAAGCTCTATGTTAAACAGAGCAGAGAGAGTTATATATAACTTTATTTAACCAAATGGTTGAATTTTCACCCTATCTATGAACATAAAATGACTATATAAGTTGATTTTAGAAGCCATTTGAACATCAGTAAATCTGAGTGAATCATTCTGAGTCCCGTACGTACAATCAACGAATTGCAATGGACGAAAGTCAAATTTCGTCAGCAGGGGTTAGGAATGATCGACTGCTATTTAACTAAGCACTTCATTCTGATTGGCCCAGAAATATTGTTCCAATTCCCAGTGTGAATCCTCACTTTATAAATCATACTAAAAGAAAAGCTGTCAACAAAGCTACAACGAAATGGGAAACTTAGGAAGCGGGTGTACAACTCGAATAATTCACCTGGGGCACAATATAATTTTGAAACTTGACGCTTGGTATGCTCCAGTCGTCGAGTTGCCATGATCCTCTATCATTAACCCAATTAAGTAACAAACAATTAAAAAAGAACTCTAAAAGACACAAATATCGATTGAGTGAACGTGATTTGTTAATGCAGTTTTACACTTCATCCCACTTCATTGTGTCAGTTAGTACTTTCCGTTGCTCATCAATTCAGTTTTTTTTTTACATTGAACTATGAGTGTGTGCTTTCTTTGACTGGTTAAATAACCACCAAACTAATCTGGTTTGCGGTATACCTTCAAAATCTGTTTGACTACTGATCAACACATAAATAAATAAAATAATCCGCAAGTAATTTGTGCATTTTAATTTTAATTTGTTATCCACGAAGTGCGACAATATTTTTTCAATTTAACATTCTCATCATGCGGAAAATTATATCTGATGGGATGGAAATGTTTGTGATAACCGACAAAAATAAACGGGACAGCTGTTTCGTCTTTTTTGAGTCTCGTCAACAGGGCATAGGTGTGTCCCTGTCAGGACTCGAACCGCGACTCTTCGGGCTGAGACTTCTAACCCTTACCCCTGAGCTACACGGTCGATGGTCATCACCTTGTGCGAATTGCCTAATCAATTTAGAGTATCAAGCTTGGATTAACCCATTTGAATGTTCAGAGGCACTGGGCCCCCTTGATGGTCTTGGGTGTGGGTTTCACTCCTTGAGAGATCCTAAATACCCCACGAGGTAAATACATTCAAATGCGAAAAGCGAAGAGTAAAATTGATCAGGCAATGCGAGCGAATGACCAAAGTCTAGTGAGTGCAAGTCCAATTTTCAGGAATTTCCAAGGTCTTGGAAGCTATGATGTACTTGATTACACATTCACTTAAAAGGATATGATCAATATTTCATAATTGCAAATCGTCTCGGTAGATCATTGAGTAGCATGCATCCACCAGTCCCATCATTGAGATTTCTACTTGAAAATTGTTGAGTATGACTGCTTTTGACGTATGGCAGTCAATTAACATAAGTTGCTGGTAGCATCCACCGATCGACAGAAAGCACTACTTCGTCTGTGGACAAAATGAGAACAACCTGGTCAGATAAGTACAATTAGCGTTGTACATTTATAGGAGTGATCTTACCACGAAGTAGTCATGTGCTTCTACAACGAATTTTCAGATCAATTGGACTTTTCCAAAGACACTGACGGGTAGATATACCGATGAAGACCACAATATCATCAAATTCCTTTCCAAAGGTTATGAAATAAATTGACTAATCCCTGGTGGTCAAAAATTAAAACTTTTTGAAGTTTATTGCATAAATTAGTCTCATTTCAAATGTGCTTCATAGGGCCTTGATTGACCTTTTTCTTGCTAAGCTCATTTAACCATGCGCTGATCTCCTATTCGTCGCCGACGGAGTAACTCAGGAGCATGGATTTCGGTTCCCAACTCTAAATATCGCGGTTTGATTACCGACATAGTAACATGGGAAAAGTGAAAACTGCAACCAAGAAAACACAGCTGAGTTATGTTCCGTGCCATCGTAGACATAACCTGTCTGGCAAATGAAGCCTGTGCATGATCGGAACTGTTCGCAAATCGTGATTTCTCCAGTCGTGTGAATCTTCTCTGCTTACGTGGTTTACACAAGACACGCGTTTCATCGTCTTATTTTGAAATAAAATGCACTTTCCAGAAAATCGTTTGACTGAGTAGAAGTAAGATAATAAAACTCAGGGGCAAAGCGAGCAAGACCAGTCGAAGATGTTCTCTTGAACTCTGTTGACTGTCTGCTGGGAGGGTAGAATTAAAATAGTCCGCTGTGTTTGTGGATGAGTTTAGGTGATTCTTCGCCAAG